ACTTCGAACAACTTATCAAAACTAGGCAAAGCTAACACCGGTGCATGTGTTAGTTTAAGTTTGATAGTTTCGAAGGCCTGTTGTGCACTTGGATTCCACTCAAACTTTTGATGTTTGGTTAAATCCGTGAGAGGAGCTGTGATAGTACTGAAATCCTTGACAAATCTTCTATAGAAAGAAGCAAGGCCATGAAAACTCCGAACCTGTTGCATAGTGGTTGGCCTGGGCCAATCTCGAATGGCCTGCGTTTTTCTTTCATCAACTTTGATTCCTTCATTTGAGATAAAATATCCCAAAAATTCAGTTTCTTGAGAGAAGAATTGGCTTTTCTCAAGATTGCCATACAATTGTTCTTCATCAAGCTTCTTAATCACCAAAGTGAGGTGATTGATATGTTCTTCTTCATTCTCGCTATAAATCAAGATGTCGTCAAAGTAGACAACGACAAAATGACCTATAAACGGCTTCAGGACCTGGTTCATCAATCTCATGAACGTGCTCGGGGCGTTAGTTAAACCAAAAGGCATAACCAACCACTCGTAAAGACCAAACTTAGTCTTGAAAGCAGTTTTCCATTCATCTCCTTCAAAAATCCTGATTTGATGATAACCACTTCTAAGATCGATTTTTGAGAAGACCTTAGAACCGTGTAGCTCGTCCAGCATATCTTCAAGTCTAGGTATGGGTGATAAGTCCGTTTCGTTCTTATCATTTACATCATATTCTAAACGTTATTGCACGTAAATAGTATTTAATCATCTCATAAAATGTGATTTTAATGGATAAAACTACCATTTTCGTTCTAAGAGTCATAAAATGGGATTCCACATGAAATCATCATAAATCATTCATTTTTGTTCAAGTATTTGAGAAAAAAGGAATAAATCATCAAGGGATCAAGATTCGGACTTGAACGAGCTTCCGAGAGGTCAAAAACAGTGTTCGGGGCCAAAACGGAGCAAAATTGGGCCAAAATCACGAAACAGCCGCGAAGCCCAACGGACCAAGGCCTCCAGGCGTCCAACTTGGACGCTTGGCCAAGTTGGACGCTTGAAGTTGGACGCCTGGGCTAGATTGCAATCCAAGAAAGACACGTGGCAAAATCTGGTTGGCCGGAGCAGCTCAAGCGTCCCGATCTGGACGCTTGGACTTGGACGCTTTGACTTGGACGCCTTGGCTTCGTTCCTATAAATACAGCGTGATTCTCCCCATTCAAGCCATCACCATCATTCCCTTCCTCGGGAATTGAGCTCTATATTCCAGTTCCGATTATCAGTTGAGTGTTCTAGTAGTTTTGGAATAATTTTTGGAGAAATTCTACTCCCGATCTGTTCTGTTCCGCTTTTACGGAAGTTGTAAGTTTTCCTTATTTAATAAAATGCTATTTTAATTTATTTTTGCATAGTATGAGTTAGGGTCCGGACCTCTGGGTCCGGACTAGTTTGGTTGTTTATTTTTATGTTAAATTAATGTTGGAATAGTTAATCTATTGTTCTTGCCTTATTTGGTTAATTAAACTCGAAAGATTTAATTGGCCATTTATTGAGAAAATATTGTATGCCAAAAGGCTATGATATTCAAGTACAACGGATTAAGTACAAATCTAGAAATGGATGAGTAGTAATAGAAATATTATTATTCCAATTGTAAATTTAATATGATAAAAATAGATCCAAATGATGTCCAGACCTTATGTTCAGATCTATACTTATACTATGTAACTAAATTTATTATTTTTACTCTGCGCCTTTTATAATCGCTTCGAGAAGACTTTCATAAACCAATCCTAATCTTCGCCTAGTTAGAGTAATTAAACTAATTCCCTTCGTCCACTCCTCGAGAGACACGACACTCGGAGAGAAAACTAACCCTTTACTGGGAAGGTTTACTACCCAAAAAACTACGACTGTCAAATGGCGCCGTTTCCGGGGAGTGGCACGGCATTAGTTTAATTTCTCCTAATTAGCTTGGGTGAAGATTGGTTAGAACGATCTTCTCACTTCTTTTTCACCAACCACCCGTAATAATTATTATGGATAACTCTAGTGGTTATTATGGTCCGCCTTCTTACTACCAATCACCCAACCACCCTCCGTACCAAACCCATCCATCTTACCACCCGCATCAGAACCCATACGATGATGACTACCAAGTCAACAATAGGTCTGACTACTATCCCTACCATGAGGAACCACCATATGATACCCCGTCTAGGAACTTTGGATATTCTCTATACCAAGATTCTGATGGGGATAATTATTATGAACCTCATGGTGACCAATATGACTATGACCACAATGGGCCTATATACGACGATCAACCTGATCCGCTCGTCGAAGAGATCATAAGATTAGAACAGAAAAACTTCTATTTCGACGAACTTTTATTCGCTGAAGGCTCCTGGTACGAACCACCCTACTCCCGTGACTACACTTTGTTTGCTGAAGAACAAATTGAAGCAAACAAGGTGGCAATTCGAGAAAGAGCAAAACTTCTTGAATCAGTCCGGAGGGAAAAGGAGTTCAAAAGGAGATTATGCAAGGGATCAGAATTGATGCAGAAAATGCTAGACGACTTCCAAAGAGAGAGACTAGAAGCTGAGGCTAAAGCTGATAAGTTAGTCAATGATCTCTGTATGGCTGTTGAACTTAAACGCTCCCTCCAATCGCAAATAAGGGAGAGTAATGTTCAAAAAGAGGCTCTAGAACCTAAGACCAACCCTGAACCCATCAACCTACAGGTTCCAGTTCTAGAAGATTCACCTAGTTCTACACCATCACCGAAACCCGAGAGCATAACAACTCTCGCTAGGGCTACTGTGGTGATGTTACCTAAATCCCTTTCTAGCCAAGTCACAACCAGTATAGTCGTACAGAAGGTGGAACCAACTGAGGGACCTGACTCAGAACCACCTATGCTCATTCAAGAAAAGGAGAAGGAAGTTTTGCCTATAGCAATAAACGACCATCTCCTTAATTGTGTTGAAGACACACCTCCAGAGGAACCTGTTCTGGAGGAGATAGAGCCCACTACCTACCCCCAAGATTCCAACGTTCAAGAGTCTAAGGAGGAATCTATAGACGAAGAAATACCTAGCACAGAGGAACCAATAACGTCTATAGATAATCATGCTTCATCAGAAGACTTAGACCAAACTTTCTTTGACTCCCTACTTGACGGGTGTGACTTTGTCTGCCCGAAGGATAGTTGGAGCCAAAAGAGTTGGGATGAACTTCTGGTAAGTGACACTGAAGACTCATCCATGGGGGAAAGCACGGTCGTAATCATCAAACCACAAATGGATGGTCAGCCTGTTGAAGATAAG